TTTTGATTGGCCGGCGAGCCCTTTCAAAGCGGCTCCGCGCGGCCGTAGCTTGCTGCAGAGGGCGAGGGAGTTTGCATTGGGTTGGCTTGGCTGCTAGCAACTGGATTAATGGATTCATTCCTTGCTGCTGTGAGTGCTGCTTGCTTCATTTTCTGTCTCCTGCCTGTGTTTGGTCCACATTTGGGCCATTTTTTGGTTAATTTTCCATTTTAAAATATTTTTTAATATTATTTTTTAATATTATTTTTTAATATTATTTTAATATTATTCTTAAAAAATATTCTAAAAAAGAAAAGGCTCTTCTGTTGGTGTGTGCTCTCATTTGCTGTATCCTGCCTGTGTTTGGTCCACATTTGGGCCATTTTTTGGTTAATTTTCCATTTTAAAATATTTTTTAATATTATTTTAATATTTTTTTATATTATTCTTAAAAAATACAAAAAATATTCTAAAAAAGAAAAGACTCTTCTGTTGCTGTGTGCTCTCATTTGCTGTCTCCTGCCTGTGTTTGGTCCACATTTGGGCCATTTTTTGGTTAATTTTCCATTTTAAAATATTTTTTAATATTATTTTTAATATTATTTTTTAATATTATTTTAATCTTAAAAAATATTCTAAAAAAGAAAAGACTCTTCTGTTGGTGTGTGCTCTCATTTGCTGTCTCCTGCCTGTGTTTGGTCCATATTTGGGCCATTTTTTGGTTAATTTTCCATTTTAAAATATTTTTTAATATTATTTTAATATTATTTTTTAATATTATTTTAATATTATTCTTAAAAAATATTCTAAAAAAGAAAAGACTCTTCTGTTGGTGTGTGCTCCCATTTGCTGTCTCCTGCCTGTGTTTGGTCCACATTTGGGCCATTTTTTGGTTAATTTTCCATTTTAAAATATTTTTTAATATTATTTTAATATTATTCTTAAAAAATACAAAAAATATTCTAAAAATTCGTTAATATTTACAAAATTTCGTAAATACCAAAACTTTTTTGGGGGAAAGTTTTGTAATTATTTTAAATATCGAAACAAAAAAACACCCCAATTACAAATCGATTTTAGAAACAATTTTTTTCTTGATCAAACAGGCCTAAGTGGAACTATGACTTCCCTCAATCTAGACCAGTGGTTCCCAGCCTGCGGTCTGTGGATCACCAGTGGTCTGCAAGAACTAAAATATGATATGCGGTCTCACCATTACTACGCCATTGCCTTGATACTATGCAGGAACGGGAGCAACTGGTCTCACGAAATCCTCTTATAGTGCCAAGGGTGTCGGGTGGGGAGAGGCTGACTACCTATGAAAGATTACTACTACCACATTAGCTCTAGATTATTAGACATGGTTATCTGTGGGCAACTACTGGATGGCATATGTTCTGTATCAGAAACTAGAGCTGATGTGGTCTATCCAATGAAGTTTTCTGAATAAGCACCCCAAATAACCAAACCAAATCTAAATTTGACCAAAAACTGACCTTTTGGTATTAACGTTGGAGAGCGGTCACTGGTTAAGTGGTCCATGGTCAAAAAAGGTTGGAAACCACTGATCTAGACACTATCAAGGCAGCGAGGAGGAGCTGAGGAGCCTTCTAATTAAGGTGAAAGAAGAAAGTGCAAAAGTTGGGTTGCAGCTAAACATCAAAAAACCCAGATTATGGAAACAAGACTGATTGATAACTGGGAAATAGAGGGAGAAAACATAGAGACAGTGATAGACTTTGTATTTCTAGGTGCAAAGATTACTGCAGATGCAGATTGCAGCCAGGAAATCAGGAGATGCTTTCTTCTTGAGAGGAGAGCAATGACCAATCCCGATAAAATAGTGAAGAGTAGAGACATCACACTGGCAACCAAGATCCACATAGTTAAAGCAATTGTATTCCCCATACTCACCTACAGATGTGAGAGCTGGGCCATAGGGAAGGCTGAGCAAAGGAAGATAGATGCTTTTGAACTGTGATGTTGGAGGAAAGTTCTGCAAGTGCCTTGGACCGCCAGAAGATCCAACCAGTCCATACTTCAGGAAATAAAGCCCAACTGCTCATTGGAGGGAAGGATATTAGAGGCCAAGATGAAGTATTTTGGCCACATCATGAGAAGACAGGAAAGCTTAGAGAAGGCAATGATGCTGGGGAAAATGGAAGGAAAAAGGAAGAGGGGCTGATTAAGGATGGTATCCTTGAAGTGACTGGATTGACCTTGAAGGAGCTGGGGGTGGTGACGACCGACAGGGAGCTCTGGCGTGGGCTGGTCCATGGGGTTATGTGGAGTTGGAAATAACTGAACGAACAAACAACAACAAAGAATCTCATTGGCTTCTTTCGCTGCCATGTCACACTGTTGACTCATATACAGTTTGTGATCTAAGACTTCAAGATCCCTTTCACATGTACTATTTCAAGACAGGTGTCAATGATCCTATAATCTGTGCACTTCATTTTTTTTCTGCTTAAGTGTAGTTCATTTTGTTAGTTTTGGCCCAGCTCTCTAGTCTGGCAAGGCCATTTTGGATTCTGGCCCTGTCGTCGTATTAGCTATCCCTCCCAATTTGGTGTCATTTGCAAATGTGATACACATGCCTTAAGCAGCTGAGGGGGAAAGGAAAGGGCCCAAGGCTGTTAGGAATAGTGGACATTGAAGTCCAAAACACCTGAAGGGCCCAAGTTTGCCCAAGCCTGTTCTAGACACTAAACTTCCTTCTTGAATTTTGGTGTCCAGAACAGGAAACAGTATTCCAGGTGAGGTCTGACCAAAGCAGAATAAGAGTGGGGCTATGACTTAAATAAATTATTTTATTTATCATATCAGAGGGTACAGTTGTAATGTATTTTAAAAACACAAATTTTAAGAACTTGCATTATTCTGAGTGTCCTTTGACCAGCAGCTGGCCACTTGGAGTGCCTCTGGTGTTGCTATAAGAAGGTCCTCTGCTGTGCATGTGGCAGGGCTCAGACTGCATTGTAATAGGTGGTCTGTGGTTTGCTCTTCTCCACACTTGCATGTCGAGGACTCCACTTTGTGGCCCCATTTCTTAAGGGTGGCTCTGTATATCGTGGTGCCAGAGCGCAGTCTATTCAGCACTTTCCAAGTCGCCAAGTCTTCTGTCTGCCCAGGGGGCAGTCTCTCATTTGGTATCAGCCATGGCTTGAGGTTCTGGGTTTTACTGTGGCATAGACACGGAGAACTGGGAAGCCCTGCCCCTTGAGCGCTCTAACTGGAGATTAGCTGTGACCAACAGTGCTGCAGAATTCGAAGACGCATGAATGGAGGGTGAAAGGGAGAAATGTGCCAAGAGGAAGGCATGTCAAGCCAACCCTGACTGGGACCACCTTCCATCTGGAAACCGATGTCCTCACTGTGGGAGAACATACGGGTCAAAAATAGGGCTCCACAGCCACCTACAGACCCACCGCCAAGACATTACATCTGGAAGGCTATCATCCTCGAACTATTCTGTAGCCCAATTGTCGATGGATGTCCAGAATCAGCAGCATCCACCGCAGTCCTTTTTATCGTGGGTGTCAACCGAGCCAGTATAGACTTTGTTAGTCCCACTCCTCAGCTGAGACCTCTCTGGCTTGGTTGAACCTGCTGGTAGTTACACTGCCACAAGCACAGTTCTCAGCGTCCTTGGAGCAGTTAAGCTCCCCATCACAACAAGGTGGCACCCATCAAGGGGATCATAAACCCGCAAAGGTTGTGGAAAATGAACATGTAAAAATACTGTGGGACTTTCAAATCCAGACTGACAAAGTTTTGGAATGCAATACAGCAGACATCACGACTGTGGAAAAGAAAAAAAGTCTGGATTATTGATGTCGCCATAACAGGTGACAGCCGCATTGAGGAAAAACAACAGGAAAAACTCAGCCACTATCAAGACCTCAAAATTGAACTGCAAAGGCTCTGGCATAAACCAGCACAGGTGGTCCCAGTGGTCATTGGCGCACTGGGTGTGGTGCCAAAAGATCTCAGCTGGCATTTGGAAACAATAAACATCGACAAAATCATGATCTGTCAGCTGCAAAAGGCCACTTTACTTGGATCTGCGCACATCATTCGAAAATACATCACACAGTCCTAGATGATTGTTTGACTTGTGATTTTTTGATATGAAATCCAGCATATAGATCTTGTTTGCTGTGACATACTGTGTTTTTTGTGTCTGTATAATAATAATAATAATAATAATAATAATAATTCCACAATTATTATTTTTTGAAACACAACAAGATGAGTCCACAGCAAACACTCTGCTGGCTGTTGAATTGGATCACACGTTGGACACTTCCCAACTGTCTAGCACTGTGTGATGTATCGGTGAATAATGTGAGCAGATCCCAGTAAGGTGGCCTTCTGCAGCTGGTAATTTTGTCAGTGCAGATTGTGTTTAAGTGCAGGCCAAGGTCTTAGGCACTGCACCCAGTGTGCCGATCACCACTGGGACCACCTTGATTGGCTTGTGCCACAGACTCAGTCTTTGCAGTTTGATACTCGTATAGCGTCGGCTTATAATAATAATTATAATAATTATAATATTTTTATTATTATTATTCCCTGCTGCAGGAGTGCTTCAAGCTGTTGTAACCAACATGAGAATGCACCCCCTTTCCAATTCTCTCCCAACTTTTCCCCACAGCAGAGTTGAACTCTTGAGAGACCGCCCCCCCCCCCCCAAAAAAAAATCTGCAGGGATCCCTCTCTCGCCTCAGGTGCATTGCCCTCCCCCACCTTGGGAAAAGTGGGAAGGAGGGAGGGGGGCGCGAAGGTGACGCAATGCCTGCAATCCCAGGGAGAGAGGGAGAGAGGGAGAGCGAGGAGAGGCGCGTGGTTGAGGGCGCGCTCCCGAAGCGGGGAAGGGAGGGGGGGTCTCTCCGCACGTGGCCCCGCCTTCTTTGCCGGCAGAGCCGAAGCCACGCCGAGGCGCTGCCTATCAGCGGAGCGCTGCAGGTGAATTGAAAGTCGTTGGCGGGGAGGGAAGGACACGGCAGCCGGAGCCGCTCCTCCTCCTCCTCCTGCTCCTCCTGCAGCCGCAGCCTCCTCGTCCGTCCTCTGGGCTCCTCGCCTGCCCCAAGCGCTCTCTGTGTCCCGGGAGCGTGCGCCGTCGGGGCTCCGAGGAGGGCGGCCAGGGAGGAGAGGGAGGTCTCCGCCCCGCGGGGGAGGCACCCAGCCGCCCGCCGGACATGTCTTCCTCCTCCTCCTCTTCGCCGGCGTCTTCCTCTCCAGCCCGGCGCTCCCCGCTGGCCAGGGACTTCGAGGAGGGCGGCGGAGGGAGGAGCGCCAGCCTCAAGCGCCCCAGTAAGTCGCCCCGACAAGTTCGCCTTGCCGTTCAGCCTGGGAAGGGGGAGCATTTGGGGGCGCAGTTCGACATCCCTGTGGTGGGAGTTGTAGTTTGGCAAGCTCTGCTCCCGTTATCCCACCGCATGGGGACAGGGGAAGAGCAAGCCGCATTCATTCCGGCAAGGAGGATGCGCCCGAGCGGTGCTGACTCACTGCACTCGCCACATGCCCAGAGGCACGCGTCTTCGGCGCCTTTCGCGCCCGGCGCCCACGAAAGGGAAGCATTCGGGGTCTCAAGTGTGAAATGGCGCCTGTTTAAAGGGAGCCAAGGGGATTCTAGGCATTCTGCATGAGCTCACTTCATCCGGACATTAGGAAGATCTTCCTAACTGTAAGACCTGTTCAGCAGTGGAACTCTCTGCCCCGCACCTGGTGGAGGTTCCTTTTTTGGAGGCTTTTAAGCAGAGGCTGGATGTCATGGCTCAATGCTGTGGAATCCTGGGAGTTGCAGAATGGCCAGGTGTTCCTCCTTTTCTAGCAAAGAATGCGGGTGCCTCACCAAACTTAGACTCCGAGGATTCCATAGCACTGAAGCATAGAGGTGAACTGCACACCTGGGATACCATGTCCAATTCTGGGCACCACAATTGAAGGGAGATGTTAACAAGCTGGAATGTGTCCTGAGGAGGGCAACTAAAACAATCAAGGGTCTGGAGAACAAGCCCTATGAGGAGCGGCTTAAAGAGCTGGGCATGTTTAGCCTGAAGAAGAGAAGGCTGAGAGGAGACATGATAGCCATGTATAAATATGTGAGAGGAAGTCACAGGGAGGAGGGAGCAAGCTTGTTTTCTGCTGCCCTGGAGATTAGGATGTGGAACAATGGCTTCAAGTTACAGCAAAGGAGATTCCATCTGAACATTAGGTAGAACTTCCTGACTGTGAGAGCTGTTCAGCAGTGGAACTCTCTGCCCGGAGTGTGATGGAAGCTCCTTCTTTGGAGGCTTTAAAGCAGAGGCTGGATGGCTATCTGTTCGGGGTACTTTGAATGCAATTTTCCTGCTTCTTGGCAGGGGGTCGGACTGGATGGCCTGCCAGGTCTCTTCCAACTCAAGGATTCTAGGATGCAATGGTTGAGGAGTGGGATGCTTCTATATTCATAGAATCATAGAATTGGAAGAGACCTCGTGGGACATCCAACCTCTGTTTAAAAGCCCCCAAAGAAGGAGCCTCCACCACACTTCTGGGCAGAGAGTTCCACTGATGAACAGCTCTCACAGTTAGGAAGTTCTTTCTAATGTTCAGGTGGAATCTCCTTTCCTGGCGTCTGAAGCAATTGTTCTGTGGCCTATAGACTCATCACACTAGAGAATGAATCCATTTTAAATACAGTTTCTGCCTCTGGCAGAACTCCAGGATTTGTAGTTTAGTGTGGCTGTTAAAGACTCCTCGATACACTACAAATCCCAGAATTCTGCAGGAGGTAGCAAACGGATTTAAAGTGGATCCATTCTCGTGTGATGAGGTCCCTAGTCTGCAGGGCAGCAGAAAACAAGCTTGCTCCTTCCTCCCTATGGCTTCCCCTCACATATTTATACATGGCTCTCATAATGTCTCCTCTCAGCCTTCTCTTCTGCATGCCCAGCTCTTTAAGCCACTCCTCATAGGGCTTGTTCTCCAGACCCTTGATCATTTTTATCACCCTCCTCTGGACACATTCCAGCTTGTCAACATCTCCCTTCAATTGTGGTGCCCAGAATTGGACACAGTATTCCAGGTGTGCCGTTTGTGCAGTTTGACATTGCCTTAACCACTATGCTTCAGTGCTAAGGAATCCTCGGAGTCATAGTTTAGTGAGGCACCAGCGCTGTTTGGTAGAGAAGGAGGAAGACCTTGTTATGCTGCAACTCCCAGGATTCCATAGCATTGAGCCATGGCAGTCCAAGTGGTGACTAGCTGCATTAATTCTACAGGGCAGAAGATGCACCATTGGCCCAACCCAGTTCTGCAGAAGAGGATCATTCATAATGGGAGACCCTTGGCCGTTTCCATGTGCCAAAGTGATCAGAGAGATGGTTGGGAGTGCAAATGGATAATGTGCCCAGAGTAAACCCAGTGGGCGTGGAAAGAGTTTGAGTTTAGGAGGCAGGATTCTTCCAAGTATTCTTAACGGGACTGAAATATACATATAGTTGTTAGGAATGGTGGGTGTTGAAGTCCAAAACACCTGGACGACCAACATTTGTCCAGGTCTGGTCTAGATGGTTTGAGAGTGTGCTTAGTTCTTCCCTTTTTCTTACTTTCCTTGTGCTTTTATGTGTCTTTAAGTCATTTCTAACTTACGATAATCCTAATGACTTTTCACTGGGTTTTCTGGAGCTGAGAGAGTGCAACTTTCCCAGGGTCACCCAATTTGTTTTTGTGAGCGAGCGGGGATTCAAACCTTGGTCTCGAGACCATATCGTCCAATAGTCAAAGCACAGTGGCTCTGCTTATTCCTCTTCCCCCGCCCCATCTGTAAGGACTAACTTATTAAATTATTGCTTGTATGTGGATAAGACCCTCCCTGCATTGGGATGATACTCTGGGAGCAGTGATGGACTTAAATGCCTTTTGCCTTCTGTTGGAATGACAGATATTTTTTTTTAAATGGGTGTGTGTCATGCCATTCGGAAAAATATAAATGCCAGCACTGAGATCTTGTGTTTTCTTCTACCTCTCTTCTCCACAGTTCAGCACTGGCCAGTTTTGATCATTTTCTATCAGGAGTAGCTGTGTCAGTCACTTTCAGTGGGAAAAATAACAAAAAGTATTGTGGTACCATCAAGATAAACTTTTGTAGTAGCCCAAGCCTTTGCATACTGTAGTGCAGTGTTTCTCAACATTCCTAATGCCGCAACCCCTTAATACAATTCCTCGTGTTGTCCTGACTCCCAACCATAACATTATTTTTGTTGCTACTTTATAACTGTAATTTGGCCACTGTTATGCATCGTCATGTAAATATCTGATATGCAGGATGTATTTTCATTCCTGGACCAAATTTGGCACAAAGACCGAATACGCCCACATTTGAATACTGGTGAAGTTGGAGGGGGGGATTGATTTTGTCACTTGGGAGTTGTAGTTGCTGGGATTTATAGTTTACCTACAATTAGAGAGGATTCTGAACTCCACCAATAATGGAATTGAACCAATCTTGGCACACAGAACTCCTGTGACCAACAGAAGATCTGGAAGGGTTTGGTAGGCATTGACCTTGAGTTTGGGAATTGTAGTTCACTTACATCTAGAGCAGTGATTCCCAACCTGTGGGTCCCCAGGCATTTTGGCCTACAACTCCCAGAAATCCTAGCCAGTTTACCAGCTGTTAGGATTTCTGAGAGTTGAAGGCCAAAACATCTGGGGACCCACACGTTGAGAACCATTGATCTAGAGAGCACCGTGGACTCAAACAATGGATCTAGACCAAACTTGGCACAAATACTCAATATGCCCAAATGTGAACACTGTTGGAGTTTGGGGAAAATAGACCCTGATATTTGGGAGTTGTAGTTGCTGGTAATTTATAGTTCACCTACATTCAAAGCGCATTCTGAACCCCACCAATGATAGAATTGGGCCAAACTTCCCACACAGAACCCCCATGAACTACAGAAAATACTGTATTTTCTGATGGCCTTTGGTGACCCCTCTGATACCCCCTCGCAACCCCCCCCCCAGGGATCCTGACCCCCAGGTTGAGAAACACTGCTGTAGTGCATAAATCTCATGTAAAGGTACTCATTGGCATCAGTCCAGACATGACGATGAACAGAGTTCAGTGTGATGCTAACTTTTCCTGCTCATCTCAGGATCACCATTTCCCCTCCATCAGCTCTTCAATGCTTTTCTTTGGTTTTCTTTCCCTCCGCAATCATCCAGCACCTGCATGGAGATAAATGTGAGCGCTGGTTGACCTTGTAGCACCCTCCCAAGGCGGTAGGTAGACTTTCAAAGCGAGCTTTCTTTCTACCCTGAGCTGCAGTGTTAGGCTTTAAGCAAGGTGTTGTACTCACTCTTCACTGCGATGCACTTGCCTGATGGTTTACAGCTAGCATCCTCCTTTTGCTGGGGATTGCCTCTGAAGTTGGCCAGATTTCTTTTTGCTGGGTGGAAACTTGTGCTCTGTAAGAGTTGATTGCTGGCTCTCTGACTGCAGCGAGTACAATGCTGCTTCTGCTGCTGCTTGCCCCATAGATTTATGCTGAGCTCTGCAGAAGGACCTGCTACAGCAGCAATATGCATTGGCAGATAATCTTCTGGGCCGCTTTCCTATCTGATGCAGAGGAGCGGTTGCCTGAACAATCAGAAACACAACCTTTGGGTTCTAGCTGGACAGCCTTATGGGAAGAAGTAATTTATGTCCCCTTGTGGTTAACATGGTTTTAATTAACTCAGGTCGGTGGGCTGCTGGGTATGAAGTCAGTTTAATTTTTCTTTGGTAGTGAGAGGAAGACAGTGCTAAAGACAGTGAAATAATACTATGTCCTTTGATTTGGTTTGCTTATTGACTAACCAAAATTACTTCTTTCCTGTTGTTTTTGGAGCCTTTCTTTTCGGTCATAATAAAGAGAGGTATTTTGCGTCGGTACATCACCTTTGGAAGGCTCTGGAATCATAAATACTTTATGGTCCAAAATTACCTTTTTTATTATAAGATGCATGAAGTGCTACTCCTGGCATCGCCTCTTCAGTGCCAGAGGTGCCAGCAAAATATAGAACAGTGCTTTCTTGGACAGAGTACAGAGGAGAGGCCAGCTTCGATCACAACATCTCTATCCAAGTGCTTAGTGCACAGTTATATAGCCCTTTCTAGTGTTTATAGTGCATGGGTTGCCTTGGAAAGAATCTATAAAAGTTTTCATTGGGGGCGGGGGAATGGAAGCGGGGAGGTTATTGCTTCCCAAATATTCCAACCAGTGCCTGCTGGTTGGAGGATTCTGGGAGATTTAGTCCAAAAGAACATTTCTGAGTGCTGG